GGTTACAACGCTAAAGCTCAGGATGTTACAACACAGCCAACCACCCAGGATGTTGCAACACAAAACTCAGGATATCACTACACTAGATCTCAGGATGTAATCACACAACCCATTACCCAGGTTGTTATAACACAAAAGACTAATGGGCACACAGCCAGCACCTCAACTACTCAGGATGTTACGAAACAGCTGAACAATCCGCAAACAATAGCTCCCACACAGCCAACCAATCCACCTACAGCAACTAAGCCAGCACTCCACACACCCCCACCAATATTTATAGAGAGACGGCAGCTCCGATCACACTTTGCTCACACAAGCACAAAGCCGAAGACCCCAGCCTGAAGATGACGAATGGGACCTCGTCGAAACATCACCAAGATACTCTCAATCTTACACGGTAAAAGACCCGAATACGCCAAGACCTGCATACCTGTACCCGTGAAGCACCAGGATAATATTAAAACAAAAACTGTTTAATACAAAAGCTAAAGCTAAGCTTTCGTCGGCCAACACTGCCAACATCATCAGAGCATAATACAAGATTACTGGGAGTCCTTTTTATATTGCCAGACGGCTCTGCGCCCGGTTTCTCAATCTAGTCATCGGTCCGTCCATTTTCTCTAGTTGGTTTGTTCTTAAAGGGCACACATCTCTTGCTGTGTTGGTAACTTCTGAGGTTACTATTTTCTTTTTCCTGGGCTCAATCACTTTCTTTCTGCTAGCAGAAATTTACCTCCTGTTTGTGTGGATCCACCCATTTGCCTGACCTACCCTCATCTATCCCTGCTGGCCCTGTTTCTTCTGATTTCCCTATGTGCCAGGCTGAAGACGAAACAGGGCCAGCAGGGATAGATGAGGGTAGGTCAGGCAAATGGGTGGATCCACACAAACAGGAGGTAAATGGCAAGGAAAAGGCAGCGAGGATATCAGACCTGGCCGTACGGCCCAAAATGCCCATGGGGGGAGGGACGGAGGGCACATTAATGACAACGGCATCAGGAAGGAGAGGGGGCATAGGCGAAGGAGGCAGGAGAATAGGGGGTGGCAGTGTGCTTGCACACGCAAGCATGGAGAAGGATCGGAAGAAATAGGGCCCAGAAGGATAGTGAGGGGAAGGCAAGAACAGCAGATGGATCAGCAGGGTAAGAAAGAGAGGAAAGGTAGCAGTGGAGGAGCACCAGCAGTGCCAACCCTGAGCGCCCAGCCCAGAATGATTGCAAGGAGACAACCGGTGGATGCAAGGATAGGATTGGCAGAGATGAGAGGGAGTGAATTCAGGAGTGAGCCGGCAGGCAGCCCAGCTGATCGCACAGAGATGGGACGAAAGGATGGGGTAGAGCTACAAGCATGCACACCCAGACATGAAGGGAAACGGGAGAGAAGAGGACTCATGATGACAAATAGTGGAGGACAAGAACAACAGACAGACAAATGGAATGGAGGAGAGGGGAACAGCAGTGTAATGGCACTTGGGATACTGGACTTGGATCCACGGCCCAAAGTGAGTGCGGGGGAGTGGTTAGTAGGCATACCAACAGTAACAGCACCAGGAAGGAGAGGAAGGATAAGGAGGGGGGAGAGAGAAGTTGTGGAACTGGAGTGCAAACAAGGGGAGGCGGGACATTTAAGGCAATTACGGTCAGTCAGGATGAATGGCCCTATCACGCGGTCAATGTGTAAAAAACTAGGTTAGCAAGGCTTATAAGAAATCTTTCTCCACCCCAGTGCTTTACTCTGAAGATGCTGGCAGTGGACCAGCGAAAGCTAAGTTTGTTTTAACATGACTGGAATATACCCCAGGTCGGAACTGCTGGCCCTGCGCGATTCCCCCCTCGCGCAGGCATGGCCCAGTACAATCTTAAGGGCCGGCCTCAATGACGGGGTGTGGAACCCCGAGAGGTGGTATGCAGCAAAAAGGGAACTAAAGAGAGAAAAATTGAGGGTTTTCCTAGAGGGGTGTTTTGTTAAATTTTTAGGGGGTACGGGGGTGGCCAGGGGGGGCATGGGGGATGCCTCTCTGAGGCCAAGGCCAGGCCTGTCTGAGGGATGCGGCATCAGAACGGTGAGGGAGGAGGCTGGGGGGTTAAGGGAGGGTGGTGTGATCAGTACGGTCAGTGGGAGGGGCAGATATGGCGGGAGCAGAGGACCATATCGGGTTTTGGGAGCACGCACACGCTGTTTACAAGCTTGTGGGTGCTCCGGTCCTCAGGACTCCACTCGGCCTCCAGGGATCTTAGATCCTCGGGC